ATAGTAATCAATAATTACCACATTTAAAAATTATTGTGGGGCTTGCTGCAATTTAATTTTTTTTTTATTATCATTTGCAATTACTGCATAATTTAGTCAGTGAGTGATGGTTAGATATTTTTCTATCATTAATGGTAGTAAAAATTAACAAATACATTTTAATACAACTTATACTCCAGCTGTACTGTTTGTATATCATTATGTTTTATGTCAATTGTTTTGATGTATACCTGGATTATCATCTCTGACTGCTGCCTTGAGTAGGCCTTTGGCATCTTCTGATGACCAAGGGCTTACAACCTTCAGGCCTGGTACATGCCCATACCAGCTGGCAAAACACTGTGAATGCTGGGCAGCAACTCCCGCTGCTGCTCCGTTTGGACCTCTAAATACTATTGGTACATTTACCTGAAATTAATCAAATGATTTTGTTTTTTTTTAAAATATTATATGAATTCATACTGATGAGTACATACACTATGCTATGCAATTAGATTTGCCCTATAACAAGTTATATTCACAAAAAAAAAATAAATAAATAAAAAAGCACCATTGTTAGATTTCACCAACTGTATAAACATTGAAATTATAATTTAGCAACAGATCCAGGGGATGATTTAGAGGGAGGGCGAGCGTCCTCAGAGGATATTTCCAGGCATTTAGAATACCTGGGACATGTCCTTGAGTTACCTGGGACATGTCCTTGAGACCCAAGGTGGTATCAATCAATCTCCCTCCCCCCTTTTGGACACTGTCTCTGCCCCCTTTCGGACATCTCTGGATCTGCCCTGATATTAGCAACTTTTTAATAATCCTTAGTAAAACAATAACATATTAATGTGATTTAAAAAAAAAAATAATTACAGCAAAATAAAAGAAGTTAGTGATTTTATGTGTTGGTAAATGTAGTGTTCATGATGGTGTTGGTGGCGATGATAATAGTTAGTGTTTTAATGAGACCCAGCAGGAGCAAAATTATGATGGTGAGGATCATGACGATCATAATAATTTGACAAATACGATGCTGATGAAGATGATGATAACAGGGGTCCCAAGTCTTCTGGAAGTCACGGCAATCTCCTGGAAATCGAGAAGGCCCCCCGCACCCCCCGAGCAAGCAAGAATCTCCCGGAAATTAACCCATCTCCAGCAAATTCATGTTACTGTATTTGCATGTTTTTTGCCAATTTTTAATACTATTATCAATTATCTCCCGTATGTCAGTGCCAAATGACATCACCATCCACAGCAGAATGTGTTTAGAAAGCCCATTTAAACTGATCTCCCGGATATGGTTTCTTCCAACTCCTGTGTTAATGATGTTGGCAGTGGTGATTTTGCTCAGTGTAGATCATAACTGACCTATACACACAGAATCAATATGTATTCTGATCTTAATTCAAATAAATTAAGATCAAATAAATAACAAAATATCTTAAAAGAAATCATAATTTTAATATTTTTTTAAAATACCCCCCTCCCATGTACTTACCGCCCCTGCTGACATATAGTATGTCTTGGCTGCAGAGTTGATCACCTGATCGATGGCTTGCATAGCGAAATTAAACGTCATGAATTCGCAAATTGGACGTAGACCAGCCTATAAAAATATTAACAATATGTTTTTGTGTAGCACCGGTATCCATCAGACAAAATGCTCATGGGTCTTGTGGACTGGTATTTTAATGGAGTCTAACTAACAATGGCAGAAACATTAGTGACCACATATTTTACAGTATTACCAAGTCATGTCATATTCTTGTTCTACAGCCAAAAGTGAGTTTAAATATCAATATTCAGTTAATTTATTTTTACCCCATTTCAAGATATGGATAATTGAAAATGTAACTTTACAAATGGGTCAGAATTAAAGATAAACTTTAGTATGATCCCGAAATTTCAAATTGCTGAAACTTAAAATGACTTAGAATTGGGCAAGTCAAATTTTGGGATGGTTTGTTAGACATATTGATGCTTATTATGAGAGACGGTACCCAGCCATCCCATTTGTTGAGTTGGTATGGAATGACCCATGGAATGCAGCATTTTCATGATAATGCGTGAGAGCACTACAACGTTCCTAACTGGACAGGAAAATTTAAGTTACAGCCGCAACTTGGAAGCTTGTAGTCGTATTATAAAACTGAACGTTACCATTGCTGCACCCACAGCAATTCCTGCAAATCCCATTTCAGTGATGGGTGTGTCCATAACTCTGGTGTCACCATATTTTTGATAAAGACCCCTAGAGACTTTGTAAGCTCCATCGTACAATGCAACTTCTTCGCCTAACAGAAAGACATCCTTGTCTCGTTCCAACTCCTCATCCATGGCAGTATTTAAGGCATCACGCACTGTCATCTATAGAAAAAAAAAACACCAAAATGAAATTTGTATATATAGCGTCCTCTGTCAAAATAAAAAAATAGAGCACCCTCTTTGTTAAGTTCTTTTAATTGTAGTGATCAAACGACTACTGATGTGATTAGTCAAGTAGAAATAAGGTTTAACCCCCAAAAAATTGCAACAAAAGATTTTTCAACGGATTTTACGAATTGCATTCGGTTGGTTAAAGCTTCAGTTAAATAAATAGGGCCTGTATTCACGTTTTAATTACGAATTTACATCATGCCTATAAATTTTATGGTAAAATCAGCCTATATATTTTATTTTTATAAAATTTCCATGGTGCACTTCTACAGTAATTGTATGACATAGAAACATAGGCGCAAGATGTAAAAAGGGAATGTTCATTTCACGTACAAAACTGCACTAGGCTAAGGCCCCTATGCAGGTTATATAAAAATCTGCCTAATAAATCTCTTTTTTACTAAAATTAAATGCTTGTTTACATGCATTTTCTGTAGTTTACTTTTATATATTTTTTTGATTTAAAATTAATTTTCAAATGCTGTGATTTTTATACAACTTTTTTTTTTTTGACACACGAATGTGTTGAATCTGAGGCTGACTTTTACACTACTTTTTCTAGGCCTAGCCTACTAATATTTAGGCCTAGCTAGCATCTAGGCTAGGCGCCTAGTCTTTTTAGCTGCCCCCCCCCCCAGCTGACCCTCTCTGCACTGCAGAAATAGGCCCTGAGCAGGGCCTGAGCCTAGGCTTACCTGCTCAACAAATGCAGCTGATGTAGTGCTAAACTGCCTTCGTGTTACTGCTCCATGAAGAGCCTATGAGAGGAAAATAATACACAATTTAACAATGATTAAACGAGTGTTTTAAGAAAAACAAGGTAAAATTATTCAGGCATGGGCTAGCCTAGGCCTACCTTCCTTAGGAAACCAATGGCCCTCGAACTCGCCATGATGAGGTGATGGTTAGTGAAGGAAGAAGACGGGATGGGAGGCTAGCCTTTTTTTTTGTAAAACTGATGACATAAAATCTTAGAACGAGGATGACCTTATAGCAACTTGGGTCATCAAATCTGACAGCCAATAGGAATGCAAGGAATTTCGTGACGTTCTATAGAAGACCGGTAGCACGCTCAGCACTGAAAGAACAACGGTGTTCCAGTCTCTCAAAAGATTCTTTATTTTAGTTGTAATTTCATATTTAAACTGATTGATAAGTGTTTCAGTCAGAATTTGATTTAATATTTAGGTAAACACATCAATTTCAAAATGATTTCATCTATATATAGTTCGTTGAAAAATGATCTTTTCAAGAACCCATTTGTCACACCGGCTAACTGTTCGCCGGTTACAGGAAGCGAGTGCGTTCCAGCACGAAATATAGCTGCCGCTTCAGTTTCAGAAGGTAAATTCAATATGAATTATTGTACCAATCTTGACTGTAACACATTCTTATTTATAATCAAAATGATTGATATTATTAAAATATCTAGCCTAGGGCATTGGCTAATCTAGAGTAACGCCAGGCCCGACATCCCTACATTTTGAACTAAAATTGAATTAGGCCTAGCCTAGGATGTTGAGTCACATGAGTGAATGAACAAAAAAACGTTCCAACATGAACTTGCATGAAACATCCAAAACCAGCTGGTATACAGGCCTACGCTAGGCTAGCCTAGTAGCTAGTAGGGTAAGACCGGGTAATGTGGGCGTCCACGTATGTTATATACCTAGGAGAAGTATGGTATCATTTCATATAAATTTAATTTTTTACAGAAAGTTGTGAATTTGGTTCCAGGAAATATTTAACACTTTGTGGATTTGGTGGTATTCTTAGTTGCGGACTTACACATA